AAAAAAAAACCAAGAATAGAAGACCACTCAGGAAACGCGAGGCTCCGCCTCCCCTTTTTCTCCTCCACCACGTCCACTTCCCCCTCACAACGACGGTCTTCCCCCGAACACAATGCACCCTCATTTTGACTGTATCGGGCCGGAAACATGCCTTGCATACGTTCATTTTCAGGGTGCGTTATGTTGGGGGGAAGACGGTAGTCATCCTTTTTTGCCTTCTCTCCTATCGCTTGCTGACCTTTTTTTCGTTCTTCCTTTTTTTTTTTTTTTTTTTTTTTTTTGAAGTACGGTAGCATGTGATGTTATTGAATCCATCAACACTTACATGTGCGTACCATCATCTACAGGCTTCCCCCTTACAGAACGTACGGTCATTATAGCTGTATTTAGTGCAACTTTCAGTCTATATACAGCCATAATGACCGTACTCTACGCTCTATTCGGCTAACGAATGCAGTCACAATGCAGGTCAGGTTCATGCTAACCCGTTTTTTACCTTTATGGTGCCAGGCTGATGATATTTGCAGGTCGACGTCAGGGCAAAGCTGAACCACTGCGAGTCTCTGCAGAGAAGTTGTGAGATCGCTGCCACAACGTCGTCGACAGGCGAAGATGAGTTTGACACGTGCTTGACACGTGGCTGACACGTGTCTGCCTCTCTGAGACGTCTGTTGTGCTATTTTGGGCGTGAACGAGAGGAGGTCTGTTTTGCAGACACAATTTTTTTTTTACCCATGGTTACTGAACTGATGGAACCTAGACACAGTAGTTTGGTTGGCAGTTTGCTGCTTATTAATCCTGACAAATATGTTTGGGGGCTAACTACACGTATATAGTATATACTATAATACTACACATTTTGTCACAGCCCCTCGTTTGTTGTCCTCTTCTCCCTCTTGTCCTTCTCTGCATGTAGGCAGTTTACCGTAGGCAGTTCTGTTTGATGATGTATACTACACAGGTTGGAATCCACACACGAGTTGGGCGGTGTTTGTTGCAATTAGTTCAGCGAGAACTATGTTTTGGTGTTAGCTATGCACACAGATAGTCCTGGTACTGAGTGCGGAGACCTATGTTTGGCTGCGACCTATACATAGGTTATGGTGTTAGCTATACATACACCCCAAGTAGTCCTGGTACTTAAAGTGTAGGTGCGACCTATCCATAGGTTATGGTGTTAGCTATACATACACCCCTAGTAGTCCTGGTACTTAAGTCAGTCCCGGAGGAGAACTATGTTTACGGGATTGCCGCCCTTGATGCAATCAATACATGAGGATTGCTCAGGAAATGTGCTTACTCTCCAATGATGTTCCAAGCTGGACGGAGGTGCGGCAGCAGCAAACCTGTCCTTGGTGTGGCAAGTGTGTGTGACACTTCGTGTGTCATTTCAGACGCACCGATGTTCATCGTCACACATCAGGTGGTTTTCCTGCTAGACTCTGTGTGAGCGTTTGGCATAGATTGACTATCCATACATGCTGTAACTGGCTGGAGAGAGAGAGAGAGAGAGAGAGAGAGAGAGAGAGAGAGAGAGAGAGAGAGAGAGAGAGAGAGAGAGAGAGAGAGGGTTGGCAGGAGAGAGGATTGGAGTTGTTTCTGTCGTGTGGAAATGCAAAGGAAAATGATGTGGACTTTTTTTTTTGCATGAAATGGCAGTGTGTCATTTCAGGTTCCTCTTTGAATCCAGGCTAAAGCTATATGTATAGTACAGCTCCCTCCTTTGTCTGTTCCCTTTGTCGACAATAGACATCGTTAGGCAGTAGAGTAGACGGCGGGCCGCTGCTGGCGGTCACAGCTGTGTATTGGTGGATCGAGGTAGCGAGCACGATGTTCGACGAAGACACGGAGTTCGATTTTGCCGCAGAGGACGACGGAGTTGTGGATGACCCAAAAGGTCATGCTGGAAACAAGCGGGGCCTTATGGAGGACGATGAGGATGACGACGACGTCTTGTACCCGTCCAAGAAGATCTACATTCGTGGCGGCGATACCCAGGCGACAACTATGATCTTGCAGCTGCGGAGCAGTCTGGAGGAGAAGCAACAAGAAGTGGACAAGCTTCAAGCGAACCTCAACGAGGTAAATGCGGAAGTGGAGAGATGGAGGAGTATCTTCCAGACAACCCCGCTGCATGCGCATGCGTCGTTGGCGAAGGAGGAAGGAGCACCAGGAGGAGGAGTTGCAGCAGGGAGTAGCACGACAACAGCCGGAGCCGCAGCAGGAGCAGGAGTGCGAGCAGGAACTGGAACTGGAACAGGAACTGGAACAGGAACGAAACCCGGAATTGGAGCTGGAACTGGCAAACCTGGAACGGGATCGGGTACCAGAAACGGGACAGGAACCGGAACGGGAACGGCATCGGGGACTCAGGATGCGGCTCCAGTTTCTGGTGCTGCTACGCCGGACCCTGCGCGGGCCCAACGCGCTTTGCTGAAACTGCAGGCGTCGGAGCAGAAGCTGAAAGAGTATATAGTGCAGTCGAAGAAGAAGGAGTATACGTTGCTGATGCAACTGTCGAGAAAGGAGCAAGAGATATTCGAGCTGAGGACGCATGTGCAAGATCTTGTCGCCACGACTCGTCCGTTTGCGAGGCAAACACGAAAACTGCTCCTCGATCCCGTGCTTTATTACGAGTACTCGCATTTGAAGACGCAGCTAGAAACGTTTCAGAAGAAGCTGAAAGACGCCCAGGAGGACTTGGCTGCGATCCAGTTCACTCCGCAGAGCATGTACGGAAACAAATTGCTTGCCAAGTGTCGCATGCTGGTAGACAAGAACGACGAGATCGGATCGGAGACGTCGGAGGGCAAAGTGCAGGATCTGGAGAAGAGGCTTGAGGTGCAGAGACAGCTCAATGTTGAGCTGAAGGGCTTCTATCAGGAACTGCAGGAATATGTGGACGAGATTAACGATGAGGCGGAGAAGCTGCAGCAAGATCTGTGTGTTGTTGAGAGGGAGTTGCAGCAACGACACCTGGAGCTGCAAGATAGCCGACGACAGACGGAGACGACACCCAACGGAGCAAGCGAGGAGCGAATTGATGACGAGTGTCAGGGTCGATCCACTGCGGAGGCATGTAGGGATAGGGATACCTTAATGAGGACAATGTGTGACGATGACGAATTGGAAGAAGAAGCAGAGGCAGAAGAAGACGACAACGGAGAAGAAGAAGAAGAAGAAGAGGAGGATGAAGATGGAAATGGAAGACGGAAGTTTGATGAGCGTGAGGAGGAGGAGGAGGAGGAGGAGGAGGAGGAGGGAGAAGAGGGGCAGCAGGAGGGACAGGAGCAGCAGGAAGAAAAGGAGGATGATCAAAATGAGACAGGTAGTCGTGCAAAAGACGAAGAACTTGCAGAGAGCGAGGAGCAAGAAGACAAGGAAGTGAAAGGGGGCGATGACGAGGAAGACCTGGAGGAGGAGGAGGAAGAGGAAGTTAAACTAAACAGCGTCGAAGAAGAGGAACAACACTCCGATTGCAATGGAAATCAACCGAATGTCAAAGAAGGTGGTGATGCTGCTGATGCTGATGCTGATGCTGCTGATGATGATGATGAGGAGGAGGAGGAGGAGAAGGAGAAGGAGAAGGGAACAAAAGAAGAAGATCAAACTGGTAAGGAAGTCAGTCAAACACAGCAGCAAGATGAAGACATGGGGGAAGGGAGTAAAGAAGAGAAAGAATGTCAAATGGAGGGAGACCAAGTAAACATGCCAGTTCTGTCGGAGGAGGAAAGAAGCAGTAGTCCAGATACAACTGTAACATAGGCAGCCTGTGGAATATAGTCGGCCTGCCGACTTTTGCAGGCCAAACTTCCCGCCACTTTTTTGTCGCTGGAGAGTGTTTTTGGAACTGGTGCCCTTTTTTTTTTTTTCCGGGGCCGTTGTTATCGTTTTCGGTGCTGGTTATTAGAAGATGCTTCCCTTTTCTATGCGCATTGTCCCACTTGTGGTTCTTTGTGTCCTCCCGCAATTTGTCTACCTAGCCATCTCCTCGCCCTCGCCCACGCCTGCCTGCCAGTCTGTCCGCATGCCCACCTGGCCAATCCCACCCAATTCCACGGCCCCCTCTCGCCCACCCGTCTGTCATCTTCACTTCCTGAAAAGGGAGGTTTTATGAGCTTTTGTTCCCAGAAAGTAAAAGTGAAGACAAGGCAGCTCTCTCAGTCCCCAAAAGAAAAAGTAAAGACAAGGCAAGGCAAGCCATTTGATGCAAAATTCCCCCCCTTTCAGACGTACAGTGCTGGCAACTATTGGGCCCCTCCAAAGCCCAAAAACAATTTGCAGTCTTGCCGGTTTTCCATGGGTACTAAACGTGACTGATTTGCCCTTTATCCGCCATTTTTTCTTTTTGGGATAGCCCCAAACCCCACACAGTTTTGGCCAGAAAAAGAAGGGGCAGTGTGAGTATGGCCTAATAAATGGTAATAATTTAATAAATTAATAATACGTGGGAGGCTTTGCTGCACCCCTGTGCTTGGCTAGTAATCATAGTTGTAACCAATTTCACCCTTCCGTAGTAGAAAGCCCAGCGGCTCTTGGTTAAGGTCCAGCCATCTCTAGTGTTATGTTCAGGCTTGGAAAGCATGAACCTGCCCATTGTTACGGCCTAGTTCATGCTTTCCCGGTGTGAACATGGCATCAGTGATGGTTGACCATAACAGTGTGCAGCAACCTCGCTACGAAGGTGCGTAAAAAAACCCTACAGTCTTCCCCCGAATACAACGTACGGTCATTATAGCTGAATGTAGACCGAAAGATACACCAAATTCAGCTATAATGACCGTACGTTGTATTCGGGGGAAGACTGTAGACTTGCATGTTTAGATGGCGGAGAGCATTTGTCACAGGGGATCCGGTACTGGCTTGCAGCAATGCTTTCCTGCAAGCCATGTATCCTCCATTTCTGTATCTCCCGGCAACAATATAATAACAAGGCAGCCTGCCCTGCCTGCCTGCCCTGCCTGCCTGCCTGCCTGCCTGCCTGCCTGGCTGTGTCTTCTGTGTTATGAACTTGGTTGTCTGACGATTTTCTCGCCACTCACACACAGAGTGTCTGACACATGCCCATACACATACCAGACAAAGGGGAGAGGAGACAGAGTCCAAACTGCACACAGACAAGGATAAGCAGCGGAATTCAACCATGCACAGATGGGGAGAGACACCCAGTGATTCTCACTCTCTGACAGACTCCCAACAACCAATCACAAGAAGACACCTGCGAGGATAACAATCGGAATCACACTGCTGATGAGCCAACTCAAACCAATAATCGTTACAGAGTTTATCCCAGTTTCTCACCACCCTCAGAACTCCACACACCACTCTCCATTCCACACCCAGTTAGTAGCGCAACACTGAATCCGCCTCCCAGAGGCCAGCGCCAACCATCCAGATGAAGAACATGAATCGCGATGAAGTCTTCAGTGTCGATGAGTCACTCTGACGAAGAAGATGGCAGCTATGACTGCCACACCACTGCCGAAGCCCTGACAATCTCTAAGGAGTGAAGGGCGACAGTGGTCCACCCACATACGCTCAGTGAAGAGCCTCCAAACAGCCCAGCCAATCGCAGATACCCCTAGGGGTAGATGCTCAGAAGGTGCCCCAGGTATGGCAAGCACCGGCAGGCTGGCTATGGCTGCCGTCCACGATGAGGGTCTCAGGATGCCGCCTGTAGACAATCACCACCACCAACTTGCTTGGCCCCAGAACGCTGTATCACGAAAATGAAATGCCAAAAGTCCCTAACCTACAGGCTCCGTCCTATTAATAGACTAGCCTACTCTAGACCTAGACCTGCTGGACCGGTACCGCATGCTGGACCGGTACCGCATCAGTTTGGCCTGTTCGGCCTGGGCCCTACCCAGCTATACGGCATCTAACCTGTCTCTACAGCCCAAGGCCCAGATGGGCCTGCTGTCCTAGTGATAGCCCGGGTCTGCTAAAGGCCGTAACGGCTAAGGGAAACTCGGGCCTGCAATTTTTGTGTAAATTGCAGATATGTTCCTCACAAATTTCCCTCAGGACTAGACCGGCGGTTAGTCCCTGACACAAACAAAATTACGAATCTGACCCTAAGACACGACTATACAACCTCGCAGTCAGATCTCGGCAGCAGAAATCAGCAAGTCATTGCATCTGCATTGCCAGGTTATCTTCCTCCATGCCCTGCTCCCGGTCGGTCCCCCTGCTTGGCTTGCGCCGTCCTTGTCGGTCTGCCCGCTGAGCTTGTGTTACTTTGTGTTGCCTTGAGTCGCTCGCCCTGCTGCCTGTCCGCTTGCGCTGCTGCCTTAGGCTGTTTTTACGAAGCCTTGTTGCGGGCTTGCTGCCCTCGTGCCTGCTTTCCTTGTGTTGCCTTGCAGCCTGCCCGCGTGCATCTTTCCTTATGTAGCTATGATGTCTTGTTGCTTGCCATGCTTGCCTTCTCATCCACCTGCCTTGAGTTACCCATGTGTCTTTTTTGCTGCTTGCTTTGCCGCATGCTCGCCCAGCTGCTTGTCTTGTCAATGCTTGCCTACCCGAATAGAACGTACGGTCATTATAGCTGTATTTAGGGTCTTTTTCAGTCTAAATACAGCTATAATTGACCGTGCGTTGTATTCGGGGGAAGAAGGTAGTTGATTTGCTGCTTGCCTGCTTGACGGACTTACTTTATTTGGCTGCTGGCGGCGGCCTTGTTGCTTTGCTTCCTGCTTTACTCCCTGCCCGCCCTCCTCCGGTGTACTACTGCCTGGTTTGATTTGATGCTCGCTCAGACTGTGCATCATCCTCGTGACTGCTATGGCTGTCCACTTGCACCACAGGGTATGAACTTACTATGAATAGTATGAACTTATTAAGCAGGTTTTTTTTTTTTTTTTTTCCCTTTTCTTTTCTGTGCATCATCCTCGTGCAGGGGTCTTGCTACCGTCTTCCCCCGAGCGTAAAGCACTCTGAAAATGAACGTATACAAGGTGTGTTTCCCATCCGGTACAGTCAAAATGAGGGTGCGTTGTGCTCGGGGGAAGACGGTAGTCTTCTCTATCTGGTTCGAGTTTCGACGGATGTCCCGAAGGTCCGGCAAAGGATGGAAACGGATTATAATTTATAACTTCAAAAGTTTGCAATCAGAGATTCTGTAGACTGTCAAAGGTAGGTGCCAGCCTTTCTGTTTTTTTCTGTTTTTTTTGTAGGTGCCAGCCTTTTGGTGAGTTGACTGAGAGTCAAACGGAACCGTCTGTGATTTCTTTTCTTTTCTTTTTTTTTTCTTTCTTCTTGTGTCTTTTTTTTTTTTTTTTTTTTTTTTTTTTTTTTTTTTTTTTTTTTTTTTTGTACGAGGTGGTATTTTCTTTGTTAAAACAGCTGGGAACCGGCTCTAGCGTCCTCCACAAACATGAGACTCACCCACGCCCCTGCCTGTTACTGCCGGGAGAGCGTGATAAAGCGGCATTGATCTCTTCCTATCCGGAAAGATGTACTGCCACTCCACACCTGTTTGTTGCTTCCCGAGACCCGTGTTATTACTATATCCTTCAGATTCCCCCTTGCTGTTCTCCTCCGAAGCCCCCGACTCCTAAATCGTGCTAATTTGATGCTAAACTGTAGCGACTGGAGGGCGGTTGGGTATATGCACTGCAGCATATCCCTGCCGTTCGTCTGCCGCCCTCCCCCCAGTTCCTGCAGGTGAGGCATGTTAAACGGTATCCCTACTTTCTCTCTCCTGCCAATCTTGCCTGCGTTTAAGGATTTTCGGACGGAAGTATTGCGGATCTCCTGTGCCTTGTCCAAGTTCCAGACCTTCTCTCTCTCGACTTTCCCCAAGTCAGCCCAGTATACTGTCTCCAGCGCAAAGAGGAGTCCCTCCCATGCTTGAGAGATCGGCTGCTGCTTTCTGTCTATCGTCTCCAGGCATCTTATTTTCCATATCGTCCACAACACGAGGGGTCTGAGCCTCTGAAACAGCTGCCGCTGAATCGCCTCTGAGTACCATGGGGACGCGAAACCTGTGAGGATTACAAGCGCTTGAGTCGGGAAGGGTATATCAGTCACTGCCTGCCAACATGGCTGTTACTCTGTCCCAGACCTGGTGGGCCTTCGGGCACTTGATGAAGTACATGGCCTGTTTCACATAAGCCGCACAGCTCGTCCAGGTCAGATCTGTGACTCGGGCCTTCTGCGCTTGTTCAGCCATTGATTGACTGTCAATGCGAAGTATGTGAGCAGCCACTGCATACTCCTGCTGACCCGTGTATTCAGGATCGTCAACACTGCCCCCCCAGGGATAGCCCATCCCCCCCCATAGATCAATATGCCACTATGCTCCACCCATCTGTGCTTATTATTGCTTGATCACATCTGTCATGCTTACCGCTCTGCGCCTGACCTGAGCCGTTATCCCAGCCTGGCGGTGTATTGCAGGAGATCCCAGCCTGCACCGGGTCGTTGCCGCAGCTTCCATGCCCGCGCAGCCGGATCCACCTCCAGGTTTTGAATATGCACTGTGGGGGCGTAGACGGTGAGGTCTGTATGTTTCCACCACGCTGACTTTGCGCGCCAGGTGACTCCTTATCCCTATCTGCGCTTTGCTGTTTTTGTCTAGCGCGCTCACCATCATCCCCGGGTGTAAACTTATGGCATGTGTGTTGAACAGGAGCCAGTCCCCATTTGGTCCCGCGTGTGAGACGAAGACGAAGGCAAAGGCTGCGGCCGGTACCTCGTCTGCCGTCATCGTGGCCCGGTCTCCTCGCTCCCATTTTTACTACGCCTTTTTAGCTTGTTAATCCATTCCTCCGGGATGGAAAGGAGCATGTCATTGAG